AGAGAGAGAGAGAGAGAGAGAGAGAGAGAGAGAGAGAGAGAGACATCATCTCCCAAACCTGCTGGGGTTAGGAGGGAGTGACAAGTTGACAGTTGAGCTCCTAGTCCTGGAGGAGGAGCCTAAAATATGTAGATATTCATTTGTTAAAACCACTACCATGATTTTACCGCTAGGGGATATACTTCCATGCCATGGAAATTTCCTGTTTGTCTTTAAAGTTTCACCCATTTCAGCATCGTTCCGAGGATCTTGCCGGGGACCATAATGCCAAGATACTGTGATGATTTCTGCTTTCCTCTTCCTTTCTCTGTTTATAATTTAGTCATTCTGTAAGGAAACTTTGACCCCTTCCCTCATTTACTTACCTAGTCAATTATTTATATCCTGATGGGCTCGTGGCTAGTTTGCTCTTTGAAAGATTTACAGTGGTCTTTTTTTTTAAATATATTTATTTTTTAGTTGTAGTTGGACACAATGCCTTTATTTCATTTATTTTTATGGGGTGCTGAGGATCGAAACCAGGGCCTCGCACATGCTAGACGAGTGCTCTACCACTGAGCCACAACCCCAGTCCCCTAGTGTTCTTTTTGCCTGTTTCCAAGTTTTGGATAACTTTTAAAAATAACAATGAAGGTATTCTGATACAGGAGAGTCAAAAAGGGTAACTGAAGGCCACCATAGGGGAGTTCTTGGAAGGACAACCTAAACATTGTCACTGGAGACTGGGTCATTGGGGGGCTCAAAAGCCAGGTGTGGGATTGGATCAGAGACACGCATGAGCAGGAATGGTCCAACACACAGCTGCCTGGGCCAGTCCTCCTGCCACCCTCTTCTGCCTGGTTTGTGCGGGCCTTCTCTCTGGGCCTCGGGTTCCCCATAGTTAAGATGAGGACTGTTGAAGGTGCAGGTGGCTCACATCTGTGCTTCTCAGCTGAGAGCACATTGGGATGCCCTGCAGGGCTCGTGAGAACCCAGACTGCTGAGCTGGGGATGTGGCTCAGCAGTAGAGTGCTCGCCCAGCATGTGCAAGGGCATGTGCATTGGGCCCCCAGACCCACATGCACAAATGCACACACACTCACACACATGCGTGCACACTCACAACCAGAGTGCTGGCTCCAGTGTCCTACTATCTGAGCCAGTGGGCAAGGTCAAGGATTTGTATTTCTTTTCTTTTCTTTTTCTAGTTATAGATGAACATAATACCTTTATTTTATTTATTTTTTTTATGTGGTGCTGAGGATCAAACCCAGTGCCTCACACATTCAAGGCAAGTGCTCTACTGGGGCCCAGTCCCAGCCCCAGCCCCAGCCCCCAGATTTGTGTTTCTAATGCAGTGCCAAAGGCCACTGCTGCTGCAGGTCCACAGACCACACATGAGAACCATTGGTCCACAGGATCCCCAAGACACTTAACAGCTCTGGTCACACATTTTATTCAAGGCCTGGTGTGAGGAAGTCCCAGGTCTTTGCAGATGCAGAGGCCCTGGGAATCCACGGGGGAAGGTGCGGCAGCCACTGAGAAACTGCTCTGTGCCAGGCACGGCGGTCAGCACCTCTGAGACCCAGTCACCGCTCAGAGAGGGACAGAGGTCGGGTAGAGCACCACAGCTCAAGCTGGAATCTTGTTTCTACCACTTAACAACTACATGGCCTTGCCCAAGTGACCGAATGACATCCTGCCTCAGTTTCCCCACCTATACAAAAAGGACAGTGATGACATTTGCATGACCTGACATAAAGAATGCTCCATAAACATTCATCAAAATGTTTTAAGCATAAATAAAAATGGAGCTGGGTGCTGTGGCGCACGCCTATAATCCCAGCAACTTGGGAGTCTGAGGCAGGAGGATCACAAGTTCAAGACCAGCCTCAGCAACGTGCAAGGCCCTTTCTCAAAATTAAAAATTTTAAATTGCCGGGAATAAAAAAAAATCTCCGTGTTCGAGCACCCTGGGTTCGATCTCCAGCACCGAAAAACAAATAAACAAAACCCCATAGTTATGGCTGCACTTATTATGGAGTCTGTCCTGTATGGGGAAACCGTGGTGCAAGAAGTGCTAGCTATTTACAGAAGGTCCCTGTCCTCCCTCAGCCATGCCACCACCAACCCAATTCCCACCCATTTCAACCCCCTCACCAAATCCAAAGTAGATGCCCATGAGAAAAATTCAATATAATTTATTAAATAGAGTCTGAGGGCTCCTCAGTACAATAAATATCAATAAATTAACAGAGCTGGCCTCTCCAGCTCTCACATATTAAAAAAATAATTCCATAAATACCAAGACGAATAACAAGGACATAACAGTAACAGAATCTCTTTCAAGTCAATCCAGACATTTAAGTCTCAGCGCCCCCAGGACTGGCCCAAGGCTCCTCGGCGTCCTCCTTTACTTCATGAGGGAGCACCTCTGACCCTCCTTTGGCAGGCTTTTTGTAAATGCTTCCCGAGTCTCGGCCATGCAGCCCGAGAACTGGTGGAGGACAGCCAGGATGAAGCTCTTCCCCTCATAGGCATCCCCGGAGGACGCGGGCGTGGTGGCCAGGGCCTCAGGGGTGCTGTCGTCTTTGAGCTTGTCGAGCTGTTCCAGAACGTCAGCGACCATCCCGTCCATTCTGTCCACCCTGTCCGTCCTGTCCGCAGTAGTCTTCCTCAGATACGCCTGGATGACCGAGATGTTGTGCGAGGCTTGGGGCCCGGGGGTGAAGCACGGCAGCGGGTATTTCTGGATTACCCAGGCTTGGCTGTCTGGCATGTCAGACTCATTCTTCCTCTGTAGGAAGGGGGGAGAAATGGCGGGCATGAGCACTGGCTGTGCAGTGTCACCCAGAGACGCTGACAGCTCATCAGCGGGAGCTTCCCCTGTGACGGACCTGGTGGGCACCCTATCCAACTGGTGCGACCACCCTCCGAGGCTGTGGCCAGCGCCAACCCCATTTCCAGAGGAAACTAGGCCTCTGTTGGTTTACCGAGCTGGCCCAGGATCAAGTGGCAGACCCAGCATTCCCAAGGCCATAGTTCCAAGCCTGTGTTTATAACCACTGCCCGATCCTGTCCCCTAGGCCCCATGTAGCTGAGGTCAGCTTGGGGGCTCCAGGGATGGAGACTAATAGCAAATCTGCATTTCCACACTAGCTCCCTGTTCTTGTCCCCCTGTATGAAAGCCACTTTGATGTCTTTGGCTGGTAGAGGATGATTGTATGCTTGCTTAAAAAGATCCCCAAGAAACTAGGGAGAATTTTCAGAAACAAACTGAGGACTCAGGGCCACCCCCCTGTCCCTTGCCCCTTCCTAAGGACTAAGGCTTTCAGGTTAAATGGAATGATTAAGAGACCTCATCATCCCCAGCACATCCACCTCTGTATCTTAAAAAGCCAAGCCTAGGGTTTAAATGCCAGGGAGGGTAAGAAGAAGAATACTGGTCTCATGATTGTATTAAGCTCTGGTATTTATTTGTTTAATCAAAGTTACCTAAGAGGCCCTGCCTTGAAGGCAACCCAAGAAAACCCAGTAGTATTCACATTTATTTAGTCTTCCACTCCACTGCCGGGGTCATGTTCTATAGTCACTAGGCAGAGAAAGCAGCATGCATGCAGACCCTCATCTGCTCACGGCCACCCTTCTCTGATGGAAGAGACCCTCAGAAACCACTATCAACGCCATGCATTGGCTGGGACATCCTCTGCAGCCCTGATGGACTTTTGCTGCTCAGAAGGTTCCTGCATGCAAGATGGCCCATCTCTGAGGGTGTGCTCAGGCAGGAGAACTCAGATAATAGTACCGTGAACCCAGCAGGCTTGAGATAGAGGCGCGTGAACACACACCCGGCTGGAAACCACTGAGGTTGTGACTCTGGCCGACCTTGTCTCCCTCCCCACTGCAGTTCACTGTCTTAAACATTCCTCCTTAGCTCATCTCCTTCTTCCCTGTCCCTTCCTGGGATACCCACAGCTAGATCAGATCTGGAAAGAGCAGCTGCTTCTGGGGGCAACCGAAGGCTTTTTAAATAAGTGCTTTGGAAAAGATATCTCTAGGGCACTTACGTAGTCTTGCAAAAGCTGTGTCGACAGGTTATCCAAATTCTTGAGTATCAGCTGCACTTCACATACCGTTGGCCCATTGCTGGGCCTATCAGTGGGGAACGTGTGGATGGACGTCCAGGCTGACACACAGCACAGCAGCATCAGTGCAGGCTTCGTGGGTCCTGGAGAAAGAAGAAGCTGTGAGGCACACAGAGCAAACCCCCTGCCCACCTGTCCTCAGTCACAGAAACCAGGTGGAACAACCGCTGGTGGAGCCCTTCTTTCCAGAAGCTTCTTCCCTGGGGGAGACAAGACCATGCCCGAGAGTCAGCGTGAGGTACCTGTGACAGAGATCATGGTGAGAGAGGAGGCGCAGCTGGCCTTGGCAATGACCTCTGGAGCCAGATGTGCTTGGCATGGCCCCCAGGAGATATATAAAGGGTCAGCGTGAGGAAGAGGAGTAATCGATGTCCCGCCCATGGCAAAACCATTGCTCAGCTTTTCTCCAGAAAACACTTTCAAGATTCTGCCAGCCCGGGCTGGGTGAAAGTGGGGCTGGAAGGAAATGCTGAGGTTACCCTCACGACAGCCGGAGGCCTGACGCAGAGAGCCACCAGCACCCTGCACAGGAAGGCGCCCGCCACTCGGCCTTTTCTTCTTGGAAAGAGCTGTTTGATTTGACTAGAGGAAATTCTGAAGCCCAGAGTTGACAGGCACAACCACCAAGGAACAAGTGACTTACGGGGATTGAGGGTCAGTGCCCAGGGGGATTTTCTGGGGAGATCAGGTGGAGGGTGCGTAGGCTCGGAGCTGGTGGGGGAGATCTGTGGACTGCGTTATCTTTGGGAATTTCTGAAGCGTGCCCAGGCTGTGTGCGGGGATGGCCCTCATAACCACTGTGGGTACCGTGAGTCAAAGGCCTTGGATATCCCTGGACTCTCAGCTGTACCTTGCAATCCCAGGCCCTAGAACCAGAACCCAGGATCAAGAGCCACTGAAATCATTTATACCTACTTTGAGTCCTAACTTTTAAAAAAAATGTTTAATTTTTAGTGGTAGATATATATAATACCTTTATTTTATTTATTTTTATGTGGTGCTGAGGATCGAACCCAGGATCTTGCACGTGTGAGGCTCTACTACTGAGCCACAACCCCAGCCCCTTGAGTGCCAACTTTGAACAAGTCTTCTTCTAGGGTCGTAGGAATGGCAGCAAACAAGTTGGACAAGATCCTGTCCTCAAAGATCTGGCACTGGAGTGGGGTAGGGACAGCAATTAAAAAATTAACAAAAAGGGCTGGGGTTGTGGCTCCGTGGTAGAGCGCTTGCCTGACATGTGTGAGGCACTGGATTCAATCCTCAGCACCACACAAAAATAAACAAATAAAATAAAGGTATGCTGTTCATCTACAACTACAAAAAAATAGTTTTAAAAAAATTAACAGGGGG